TCATGAGACGAGAGAGGCCATATTTATCTGGGGTGAAATACCTCTGCATCAGGCTGCAAACGCAATTTAATGTCAAAGCAGTTAAATCTTTCATGATGCAATTCATCACGTCGTAATTTTAGCCACAGGACGCTCTGAGTCAGACAGTTTGCAGATGTGAAGCCGTTCTCGGGGTAAGAAAACAACAGCCATCAAATAAATCACCAGAATGGCTTTTTCGGAGCTCCTTTGAACGAACAAAGCTTGTAATCATTCCCAACGTAATACCTCGTTAAACCCGTGCCATTTGTATGAGTTAGTGTGAAACCAAGTTCCTCTTGACCCAAAGGCCTTTCATACTGTAGCCTCTTTCTGTCCAGCTGCTTTTCAGGCCCAGCTGGTGAGTCAAAAAAAAGAAGAAGAAATATCCACAACAAATAGGTCTCCTTTCAGCCTCTTCTCATTGTTGTGAAGACTTTTCCTCCCCCTTTGGTCCTGTGCTGACACCAGGGCAGGCCTTTGGTCTGATTTAAGACCCTGGCCTGCTGATGACCCTGTTTGCTGCTGCCTCCCTCCCCTGCCCTTATCTCTGGTTTTAGTTTAGCTTGACTTAGGGAAATGCCCTCTCATTCTCTCCACTGTTCATTAATCCAGCGAACAATGAAAGGAGCTGAGCATGAAGGGACCGCAGTCTGTAAATCTTTAATGTTTGGCTTTTACTTTTTTGTCCTCTGTTTTACGAGGCCAGAGCTTTCGTCATAAACACATTTTGAATTATATTTTTGGTCTGCTCCGTTCTGAGGGAACAGATTATTGCTTCCAGAGTTTCACAGCTTTGTTAGCACGTTATCTGTTTTCCTGTCACAAGCTGGGAATCTTAGTGATCTTGACTTTCCTGCTCTTGACTTTTTGGCATCAGAGTGACGATTCATGTGCTCCAAATGAACGTCATTACTTTAAGACAAATAGCTAGCCCTTGACCTTGACACTGAATTTTTTTTCTGACAGACGTGTAGCTTCTAAATTCATTGATATATTATTTATGTGTGCTCAACTTAATGCCTTTGTTGTCTCAGCACATATGAAGGCCAGCATTGTGGACTTGAGCCAAGTGGCAGTACATTTAATCACACACTTTCTCCTTCTCATGTATAATTAAAAAACTTAAATTACATGCCATGTACATATTTATAATGCTGTAGGAAATCGACTACATGGAAATTTATTTTCTTTTCCGTGAGTGACAGGAAATCAATTAATCCTGATTTATTATTTTATGCTGGACAGGCTGTAGGCTCCAGGAGAGAGAGGATGGAGATTGGCTACAGCTGTTCTCATTGGCGCAGCCATATATTTTAGCCGGCATGTGTGACAGCTTTGGAGGAAAATGGCTGAGGGGTATCAGGCCAGGTGACTCGTGTGTAAAAAGAACAACACTGAGGAATACAAACTGTTTTCAGATCTGGTGTAAGATTTGTGACGGTGAAGAGGCACTTTATTCCTGCTTTACATGAACTATAGTTTTCTCATATATTTTTTCCCAACAACAGTCCTCTGTCATGGTTTAAGGTGAAGGTCTCCACAGCCCATGTCATTTTCTATGTCTGTGGCAAGAGACACGGCAAGAGATGTAGTTGTACAAGTACTTAAGATTAGATCTTATTTAGTACATTTTGTTCACATTTACGGCAAAGATTAATCATTTTTGTGTTTTTATGATTTACTTGCTTCATTTAGAAGTTCATGCTAAAATTGCATGACCTTTATTGATTGACTAAACTGTTGTCACAGGTAAAGCTGCCAGTCTAACATATTGATTGCTCCAAACATCTCAAATTAGACCAGGAAAGTGACCATAAACAAATATTTGTACCCTGGCAGCTCAATTTTCTAATAATTGCAGTATTGAAAAGCTTGTGAGAGGACAGCACCTTGAACAGAACAGAGTGTCTTTATCACCATTTAGTGATCTTGGTGACTCAGTCAATTTAGTGAAATTAAAGCAGTCATATTTGAAATAAATGTGAATGTCCTCTTAATAAATATGTTAGTTTGTTGATTTTTTTTGGCAGTATGAGATTGGTGTTTCACTCTGTTCTTCTTAACAAGTTTCATTTTGCAATAAAACACAGAACCACCCAGTTATTGTTTAAAGTGCATTCACTGAACTTCCTGCTTGGTACTTTAGTCCTTTCTAATGTTTTGGCTTTGATTGTTAATCAAACACAAAGGATGAAAAGAAAATTGATTTCTGATAATAATACTTTTAATCAGATTATTTAAATTAATTTCAATCAAATAAAAAATTTCTTTAAAAGTCCTCACTTTATTTAGAATGTTTTTTTTACAGTTTGTGTATTGTTTTGATAACTTGTAATGAATTAAGACCCCTGACGATGCTTCACATTTCTCCTTGTTTATGATGTGAGCTGACTCCCACTAGATAACATAATGTTGAGCCCTGCAAAGGTCAGATAACACCTCTCCAGTGATTCAGGTGTGCTCACAGCCACAATATCAGCAAGTGCCCACACACAAAAGGAGGACTTGTGAGTGATTTGGGGCACTGACGGCACACATTTTTTCCCCTCCTCTCTTCTGCAGGTTAATTCACTGGATGAAATGTTGTGGCACATGATGTGTCATATATCAAAGGCAGGGCATCAGTAATCTTTGCTCAAGGGCATGGATAACAGGCAGATAGACATGTGAATGAGATGGAAGGGGGTTGGTGAGCAACTCATCCTTTTCTGCCATCACCACAGCGTAGATGGAGGAAGATTTATGAGACATCACAGACCACATACTAGCTGGCTGACCATCCAACGAATGAAGGATCACTACTGCAGCATTCCTTCATCTTGTTTATTTTCTATCTTTTTTTTATTTGAAAAACTAGTGACTCACATTATAGGTATAGATGTAATCGAACTTCCTTTATATTTCCTTTTACTTTATACCCTCTTTTTCCAAGGTTGATTCCATCCTTTTGAAACCCACGTTACCAACCCTCCTGACTGACGACTGACTGACTGCAGTTCGGTGAGTTCTAGCCCAGTGAGTGACACTGACAAAACTGCATGACTAACTCTGGCTGCCTGACACATTTATCCATCTCTCACCATGTGGCTGAAATAATCGTAAGACAACCATCAAATTTCTCCAGGGATTTCTGAACAAAGAGGTCCAAAACAAGCATATCTAATGCTTAGGATATCTGTATTTGTTTTTATACATTAGTAAGTCATTGACGTTTGATAAACACAGATGGCTTGGAGTTCGTCCATTTTCCAAAATGTTCGGCACAAAGCACAATGGTCTTACTCATTGTTTAATTACAGTAATCTGTAATGCTGTCACTTTGACTCCACCTCAGCTGTGAAGCATGGTACTGAGATGAAAGACCAAACCTTGGTCGGTAAAGCCTTGTGGAAAAAAAATTAGGAACAATGATACATCAGCATTTTTACCAAAGGTAAATGGGTGTAATTTGATCCACGGTGATTAAATCTGAAGTCAGATAATCACAGAGGAACACCGTATTTTTCCGGCTTTCCTAAAAGAAAGGAGTTGCCACGTTTGCCATATAGGTCATCAGTGATTTGTGAGGATCACAGCTGGTACTTTCCCTGAGGATTCACTTATCTTCTGTCTTCATTTGTTGCTAATAGACTTTTGAAATGTTAAGATCCCATTGGGTGTATCAATAGAGCCATACACGAATGGCTCTTTAGAGAGATTCTAATTGTCTACATTAGGAATAAAGATGTGCTGTATTTGGCAATCATATAACTTTTGAGTAATAATACAACACTTTACAGCTATATATTTCCAGTTTAGTCTATTATGCAGATAAAGTGCACAAATTGGCAGACCTATCCTTAGGGAGCAAGAAAGAACCAATTCACAAATTAGAGGAACTAATTTCAGGTTAAAATTACAGCTTCAAGCCCCTCAGTAGAGTCTATAAATGTAAGTTTGCTGTTTTTAATTGGAAAAAATAAAGTAGCTTTTTGCTTGATTTCTTGTTTATTCATTTAAATGAGACAATAATCAACGCGAGTGTTTCAACCCATCATGTAAATGGGGCAGATTTAGCCATAAAGATTAATTATTTGTCTACATTCTTAGGCCGGTTGGTGGCATAAAAGTAAAATAATACACTACAAAACACATAAAGATAATATCCTAAAGGACATAATAGAAATGATTAATTGGATTCATTTAGGTGAAATTAAAAACATTTAACAAAAACATCTGCTGCTGTCAGTTATGAAAGCAAAACAGGTTCTCAGCTGAAGGTTTATAGAATTAAAGATGTAAAATTTAATAGTTTTGTGGGTCAGTTTGCATTATTTGGAATTATGTGTGTTCACAATATTTATTAGTTCAACTAATACGTGTTTCAATAAGGATGTTCCCTGAAACAAAGGCATATATTCCATAAACTGCAGACCGAACTGAACTGAACTTAACCGTCAGTACAGATTATAATAGTTATAAACAAACTGACACATTTTTCCTTTTTTATTTTAAAAGTACTCATGGTAAATTATAAAATCAAACATAACATACTTAACTATATCAAGTGATGCAGTTTGAAGTCCTTTGCTTCAATAGTTTTCTATATATGCAACTCTGAAATATGTGTACGCAATGTAGAAAACTTTAGCTGCATAATTTACTTAACGTTTCTGAGCATAAATGCAAACAAATTCATCAAAATCATCTGACTAAAGTCAAACCGTTCTTCCTTGGATGCCACCATTGTTAACCCTTTTTTTGGTCACTTCTGCTATTTCTGTAGGTAAACAAATGGACATATAGTTGGTAGCTGTTCACATTAAGTTTTGATGAGACATTGCAGTAAGTACCTTCAACCTTACTGGGTTCTGTATTTTATATTTGCATCTTTAAGGACTTTAAATATTCACTATTTACTTTGAGTCCATCAAAGGCTTTGTAATCTACATTGCATTCATAGATCAAACAGGACAAAGCACAACCTTTGTGTCTTTCAGGTCGCTTGCCAGGAACAACTGAACATGTCTCCGAAAAGGTCATCCAGACCGTGACAGCAGCAAAAATGACGGGGATCAGTGTGAGCACCTGGAAACAAATGGAGCGTTTCGATTCATCGTCTGGATCTGATCCACACTAAATGTTCTGGTTGTACCTGTCAGAGGCTGTGAGCGGGAGGAGGAAGTTGCCGTGTTCGTTGGGGGATATCCTTCCTCGCAGCAGCAGCGAGCGAGAACGCCCTGCTCACACAAAGGGTAGGCTCACTCCCTCACTGTTTATTTTTAGTCATAACATCCACTACAATGAACGCACGGGTCAAGGTGAGGCTAGGACACTTGTGAAGGGGGTGGGGCGCCTGAGGAACAACAAACAGATGTTCTTTGATGATAATTGCAGAGAAGGGAAAAGCAGTGTGGAGAGCAGGCTTGTGAAGCATTCACTTGTTGAAGCTGTCCCTCCTTAAGCCCTGTGGGGGGTTGGGGGGGGGGTGCAGTTTAGCCCCAGGATACAGAGAGGGCCTGCTGGTGCTATTACTCTTTCTTTTTGCCAAAGATGACATCTGTTTGAAGTTGCAGCCACAAATTTGAATGCCAATACTCTTGCCTTGAACTGACCAGAAAAAGAGTGAAAAAAGTTAGTATCAGTCTTTTTAACGTGAAATGTTACGGAGCTTCAGCCTTTAATCAAACATGGTTGTCAGCAGGCGCCCTTTTACAATGGAGCTGTAACGACAGGCTGCCAGTATTACAGCCGAGGAGCACTAGCAGTGAATGATTGATTTGTGTAAATCATTTTCCTTTTGGCTCGCTCTCCGTCTTTTATGAGCATAAGCAGCGGTGGAGAATAGTGAGGATACCATGATGGGATTAAGTGTAGCTCCTCCAGGCTGTCTCTGTGATTAATGACCTGCCACAATGTTCCCAACTGTCACTAAAAGGAGCATGAGTTGTAACCATGTCTATACTGATGAAACAACGGATGAAAATCTGTTGTGTCAACATATCACTAAAGTAATAAAGTTCTGCTTTTGATTTGGGAGGTTTACAAATCAACCTCTGGGACGCATTATACTCGGTTTTTGCAAATTTAATGTAAAAACGTTTTGTTTAACAGCAGGATTTTTATTTTAAATGCATGCAAACAATTTATTTGAATAAAATGCTATGATTAATAGTTTGGTTTAGCTGTAACACAACATTTCAAATACTTGGTCATTTTTTAGCCTAGTAGTTTCAATCTGACTTTTTGCACTATAAAACAAAGTAAGAACAGAAAATTAAGCAGTTAGGTCAGGAAAGTCTTGAAAAATATCAAGTTAAGACAGCTGGACTAGTTTTTTACCGGTTTCCAGTGACTTAAGACTTAACATATGTCTCTGCATCTGTAAATGGTCTAGCCCACTTGGACCCCAAAGCGCTTTACATTTCAGTCAATCACCCATTCACACACACATTCACACACTGATGATGGTAAGCTACACTGTAGCCACAGCTACCCTGAGATTAGCTATGTTTACATGCACAAAAATTTTTGATCGGATTGAAATAATCCGAATGTACTGTTTACATGGACACAATCCGATCATGACAAGTGTTTACATGCACCGGACCTTTATTCAGAATAAAAGTCGGGACATGCGCAGTGTTGTAAACTTTCAGCTCTACTTCCGTGTTACAAATGTAAACAAAGCTCTTCTGTGTGCTCAGGACGGACTGTGTCAGCTTTTAATAACGGGACAGACGTCATTACTCCTCGGTTGAGCTGCAGATGAAGAAATACGTGTTTTTTTTTTATTTTTTGCGAAGCAACGGCTGCGGTTTGTCTCCTTTTTATCTGTTGAGAGAGCGAGGAGGAAAAGTTCTGTGCGTCGCAGCGCAGCTGGAAACTAGTGCTGCTGCCCCGCCTCCTCAAAAGAGCAGAACCGGGTGGACAATGTCAGAAAACCTGCGCCCTCAGGTCAGTTTTCTACAATCAGAATAAGATGATCTGATTAAGTGTTCACATGCACATTATTCCAATTATTAATTGGCATAACCCACCCCTCTCATTCAAATTAAAAATTCATTCGGATCAAGCTCAATCGGATCAGAATAATCTGAACGGGCTGTTTACATGACGCATTTTTATTCCGAACGGCTGTTGATTTGATTTGATTTATTTATTTAACAGGAAAAGATTATTAAAAATCAAGCCTGACTCAGCATAATTGCTGTTTTACAGCAGGTTCCTGTTCTGCAGCACATAAAACACTCAGAATTATAGCATCACAATCACATCATTATACACCATAGACACAAAGACAAACAAGCATACCAAATTTTAAAAAGGCAGCATTTGCAAAATAGGACGTCTAAATATGAGCACAACAAAAAGTGTCCAGCAGATGGCAGACAAGATTATTCTTAAAGGGCTGTAGTTTTGAAATGGACTTATATGTTTTGAGGAATGTCATTCCATGCTTTAGTATAAACATAGAAGAAAGACCTCTGGCCGTAACAGTTTTTAAAAGTTGGTAAKATCAGTTGTCCTTTTGTAACAGATCTAGTTGTATGACCACTTCCAGAATTTGATTTGGGCAGCAATGCACAGAGAGTTCCATAATTGGCACCTTGGAAGATCTGGAAATATAAATTAATGCCACTATACAAAACATAATTCTGAAAAGTCAAGGCATAAGACAATGAAAGAACCGTACAGTGATGAGGCCAACCAGGAAGTTTTTTATGAATTTTGTAGGCCCTGTTGTAGAGCCTAACTATGGGTTCTAAGATTTCATTTGTTGTAAGATACCAAACATGTAAACAGTACGACATGGTTGAGAGTATAACGGCATGAAGATAGATATTTGAAACAGAAGATGTCAGATTTGATCTAATTTTTGAATAAACGTATAATTTCTGTTTCAACTTAGTGTTTAAGACTTGTACATGATCACGATAAGTCAAATGAGAATCCAAAGTAATTCCAAGATATTTGTAGGTAGTGAAAATATCAAGGGGTTTGTTTAAAAATAGTGAGTTGTTTGGTTATATTCAAATGTCTCCTGGGTGAGGAAAAATACATGCACACAGTTTTTTAACATTAATTGACAAAAGATTATCTTGAACCCAACCATGAAATGTCTGAAGATCTGCTTGTAACTGACTATTAATAGATTCAATATTGGAATCAGACAAAAAAAGAACAGTATCATCAGCATGCATTAAAATATTTGAATACTTCAATATTTTTGGAAGCTCATTTATGTATAATAGGAAAAGCAATGGGCCCAGTATGCTACCCTGTGGAACTCCCACAGAACAGGGCAGAGACCCAGACACAGACCTTCCATGTTTCACAACCTGACACCTATCAGTCAAATAACAGGAAAACATTTGTATTGCAGATGATGAAAGTTGAAAAGAAATCAACTTTTGTAAGAGAGKATAATGATCAACTGTGTCAAACGCTTTACAAAAATCAATACATGCAGCACCAGTTACTTGACCTTTGTTCAAAGCAGCATGTATTTTTTCAGTGAATAAAATTAATGCAGACATGGTTGACCTTGACGTGCGGAAACCATGTTGGCGGTTGCTTAGCATATTATTAGCTTCTAGATGCTGAAGTAGTTGATTAAATAATGTTTTTTCAATTAACTTAGAAAAAATAGGAAGAACAGAAATTGGCCGATAGTTTGAAACTTCTGCTGGATCACCAGATTTAAAAATGGGAGTAATCTGAGTGAACTTCAGGCATCAGGGAAAATAGACTGCACAATATATAAATTAAGCAAATGATGAAACACGGTAAAAAAGTGTTTGCATGCATTTTCAAGAAATCCATATTTATCTTATATTTGTCAAATGCATGTGAGCCATTTAGAGATTGGAATGTATTCAAAACATCACTCTGTGAAATTTCAGAAAATGAAAATTGCTTTGAAGTGTCAGGATATTTAAATAACTTTAAACTATTAGCTTGTCCCGGTAATGATGTCCTTACTGAAGAAATAAAATATTCATTAAATAAGTTAGCAATTTTTTCATGATCAGAAACATGAAGTCCATTTACTGAGATTTGTGAATTGTTATTAAATGTTTTATTGTTACTTTCACCTGTCACTGACTTAATCGTTTCCCATAATATTTTTGGATTCTTACTGGCTGAAATAATTAGATTTTTAAAATATTTTTGTTTGGCTTTGCGTAATTCAGCAACACATTTATTTCGGTAACTGTTTAAACGAGACCGATTTTCAGCAGTTTTTGATTTTCTATAAGTTTTCATTGAAGAAGCTTTCAGCTTTATGAGATGTATTATAGAGGCATTCAACCATGGAATTTTATTTTTCCAGACTGGAACTTTACAAGTTGAAATATATTTTTCCTGTATTGTCTCCAATTTATAAAAATTTGACAAAATGCGATTTGGATTTGACAGAGAAATACGCTCATTCCAGTTAGTATTCTCAATCTCAGCATGAAACATGGGTAACTTTGATTTTGGAATYCTTTTAATGAAATTATGCACATGACCTGTAGGTTTCTTAAGGTTTTTCTAATGACATAAATAAGTGAATGATCCGAGATTGAAGTATTTATAACTCCAGATATGCCATATATGGAGGATTGATTTGTGAAAATAAGATCCAAAATGGAATTGCATGTCTTGCCAAATCTTGTTGATACTTTAATTAACTGTTGAAGCCCTAAGTTTATAGACATTGCTTTCAGGCCTTTGGAAGTTTTATCAACCCAATTTGTTTAATCCGATTACTTTTGTTCATGTAAACGTAGCTACTGACAGAGGCGGGGCTGCCATGTACTGGTGCCACTGGACCCTCTGACCACCATCAGTAGTTAAGGCGAGTGAAGTGTTCTGCCCAAGGACACAACGACTGAGACAGCTGAACAAATTTGCTAACCACTCCGCCACAGCCGCCCTAATACCTGTAGCAAATCATTGGTACATTATTGACATGCATCCACTGTTTTCATACTATTTTTGGATTTGCTGTACCACAAAATTCCATTCAGGTCAATAATAATTATTCCAGGCCAGTAGGTGGCAATAACATGTTGCTTAATCAACTATTTAAAAAAAAAAAAAACAAGAAGAACAACACTGCGTTTGGGTGATTTCCTACCAAAATTTTTGTTGTAGTTTTTTTATTTATACGTTCTTGAGTGAAAAATTCTCTAAATGTCCCAAAGGTGAACAGCAACAAATGTATTTGCACAATTTTCGTGTGTTTGGCACCTTTTGAACAGCG